CAATGTGTAACGTCCTTAGTAAATCAGTGCCTTGTAGTGCTTTCAATGTGAAACGAATGTGTAACGTCCTTAGTAAAACAATGTCTTGTAGTTCTTTCAATGTGCAACGTCCTTAGTAAAACAGTGCCTTGTAGTGCGTTCAATGTGTAACGAATGTGTAACGTCCTCAGTAAGACAGTGCCTTGTAGTCCTTTCAATGTGTAACCTCCTTGGTAAAACAGTGCCTTGTAGTGCTTTCAATGTGTAACGTCCTTAGTGAAACTGTGCCTTGTAGTGCTTTCAATGTGTAACCTCCTGAGTAAAAACAGAGTAATAACAGTGCGCCTATTGGGCAATAACAGGTTCGGTCTATTGAAATGCATGGGATCCGAATCCTAAAGGATGGGCAACCGGCACAGGTGGTCCGATGGGACAAAACCTGGTGGTCTGGAGTGGGTGGATCCGGAAACATCCATGGATACCCATGGATGCCCGAAGTATCAAACAAAAAAAACCTGGGAAACCCGGCCAGAACCGCCTGCACGGCACCCTTCCCCAACGGCAGGATCACCGCAGGCCTGATCTGCAGATCTGAAGCGTGGGGCCAGGAAAGTCGTTTTCAGGCTGTTGAGGCTGGCTTGTCGTTAACCCATACCCTTCGGACCCTTCACTTTTGGTGGAAATTCTTTCAGGAACCAGGTGCCAAGGAGTCCTCAGGCCGTGGGACCTATATATTTCCAATGTACTATCAAAATAGATCATATCCATGCACAACATCCCAGGTTGTAGCTCCCAGTAAGGGTTATATAGGAACCCAACATATTTTGGGTAGCCAGCCCCAAGTAGTGATTTTATTGGGGTAGCCAACGTTGGCTCCTGAAAAAGGCACGAGCCAAAAAAATTAGAGGAGAACCTACAGTATGTCCAAACAAACTGATGCACAAAAGCAAAAGAACAAACAAGGCGACAATGAATGTGATTATAGGTGCCAACCCTAGAACCAGATTGAAATTCTTGAGGCCAAAATGCACTTATTGTTGTCTTCACTGCTCCACCCCAAGCTACCCCACATTGGCACACGCATCTAGGAAGAGAAACAATAAAGGGTGTCCAACTTGTCCAAAACAATATTATGAGGTGGTGCCAACCTCAAAATTATGTCAATAAAATTGATAGAGTCTGAGGCCATCACTTTTATTGAAAAAAAACTCTGTGACCAACCCCCTGCACCTCCATGTGCAGCAGCCAAGGTAGGCTGTCACCAAAGTGATCTGCCATAAAATGTAACTGATGGAGGTGCTCAATCTACCCTTCAGTTCTACTACCAACCGAGGATGCACAACAGTTTTCAAATCCGCGGATGATTCCGGCGCTTGTGTCTGAGGGGTTACTTGAGGCGTCAGGAGGGCATGACCCAAGCCAATCTTGACCTTCTGCGATCAAAGTGTTCACAATCCTTACTTGAGGTGCTTGCCTGTGCTTGCGAAAGGGTGCCGGAGGATGTGGCCCTGCACCATCAAGTTGATCCAAAACCTGTTGTCAATGCCAGAGCCGTTATGACGCCAGGTTAGGCCCTCCAAATAGTCTTGCGAGGAAAAGACAAGTGCACTGTACAAATCCATCAGCATTGCCAATATTTGACAGAGTACCTTTCCGAATTTCCTTCGAGTTCGGAACGCTGACGAATCGACATGCACAGGTATTGAGCTCGCGACACGCACAGGCTAAAGCGCAACTGAGAGCCAGCGGTCCAGGTGAATTGTCCAACTTTCAGTGCTCAAGTCGTAGTGAGATCTCAGTTGGATGCCCCACATCGCTCCCAAAATAGTTGTTCATAGTTGTTCCACATACCGAAAACAATCTTGCTTCTTGCAATAAAGCACGATATGCCTCCCCCAAAGTAACATAGGCCCCAGCCGGTGACAAAAGAATTGAACCTTGCTCACAGTGACAGCCGCGGCGGCTGTCGTGCCGCGTGACCATGCACGACAGCTGCCAGCCGTGCCCGGCTTCTTCTGCGTTCGTGCGCAGTTTTAAATTTCCTTAGGGTGAAACGCCCTTGCTCCAAACGGCTGGGACTTCCTTCATTTCAAGACGGAGCGGTGTATCACTGCAGGTTCACACACGCTGGTTTACCAGCTGGCAATGCCATGCTTCGGAATATTGGGCAAGCGCAATGCTATGTACAACCTGAATTTCATGGATGCCGGTCCTTCATTTCTTAACTGAAGCAACCGGCTCCCATGGCCCTACTTGAGGAGAGAAACCCCTCGCAGGTGATCAAGACCTAGCAAGCAATCCTTTGCCAAGGTAGTTGTGCAATTCCTGATGAAGGGTTTTACCCCCCCCAGCTAGGGCCTCTTCTATCATCCAGAACAATCAAGTCAGAACAGGTGTTTCAATGAACATCAATGAACCATATTTCACTCTCCTATGATCACCCTCAGACTGCGTTCTTCCTTCCATGTCCCTCAATTCTTCACATCGCCTGCCACGGCGGACTCCGCCGGACCCATCGGAGCCCATGACTGGTGATGGTTTTACTTCGAAGTGCCAAGGAGATCCCTACATCATCCTACATCTTAGACCCTTTAGGCGACATCCCTACATGCAACCCCCCCCGTGAGATACCTATATAAGTACAATCATCCTAAGTCCCAAGTCTTTTGGACATGTCCTGAACAGGCCGTTTTTGGGTCCATCAACCCAAATCCAAAGGGTCCAAAGAGTCAAGGGGAGTTCCACTCTCGAAAACCAACACAAACCCTGAAAATGGACCTGGGGAAAAAGTAAAAACGATATATTCCTCTAGCTGCTAGCTTGCACCATGTGGTTGTTCAGGGTCCATGGTGGGTCTTGAACCCACGGGGAGCCGAGAGTGTACCTTAGCTCCTTTTCAAGCTTTGGAGCTGAGACTTGGCTGAGTCGATCTTGGCATCTTGGCATCCGTCTTCTTCTGTCGACACGACAGTTGTTGTGTTTTTCGTCGCACGTCGCGAAGGCCGTCACGACAAGTCACTCTTTGCAAAGAACTGTCTTGGGATGTATGATATAAATATGTAATAATTGCACATAATATCATGATAATTCATTGTATATAGTTAATTATGTTGATTGTAATGTGTATATATATAGTGCTATATATTGCTATATATATATATGCCGTAAAGCATGTGAAAACTCATGACATGTACCAGAAACACACTTTTCCGGCTGACCTCATTTGGTCCAAACATGTCCAAACTGGTTCTGAGCTCCAGTTGGGCCCAAACTGGTACAGCAGACTCACATCTCAAAAGGAGTCAAACAACATATTATATATAGATTATCAAATCATTGTATCAGGGAATCAATCAGGGTGGGATGGGATGGGAAACTGAAACATGTTCCAAATCACTACCCCTCACCCATCATCCGAAAGCCCGATCACACAAACGACACGAACGACTCTCCGATCGCCCTCCGAGTGTTGAAAGCTGCAAGCACTGCCTGGCCGCGGTCGTCTTTCAGGATGCCGGTCAGCGAAACAGGAGATGAAATGAAGGAAGAGGGGCGGAGGTGTCACGATGACACGTGGTGTCGGAAGTGTTCATCCAAATGTCTCGACATGACGCCCATGAAATTGCACCTGGTAACTGGAAAAATGACGATGGTTTCGCCGTGCCGAACTGGAAGAAGACGAGCCTTTGGTGCATTTCCCTTCTTGCCAGAACTTGCACACGGTGGACTTTGGCGGAGGACCACCTTGGCGGGATGCAGCAAGGTTTTCCGAACAAAAAAAAAGCTTAACTTCAGACTGGCGGCGCCAGCCCCACACACGTGCGGTCACCCAACATTACTGCATTCATGTGTTGCTGGAAGTTGGTGCCCAACAATCGATCCACGACGTCCAAATCACCACAACTCCATGCGTCGGCTTCGATGTTTCTTCGCCGAGGGGCCCAAATCCGATTTTCGGGAGCCAAACAGGCGTGCCAGCTCGTTGTCGATCAGCTGGCCCAATTCCTGGGCGTGCAGCAGCGCATGGCGCAAGTGCATGGCGCAAGTGCAGCTGCGATCGCCAGGCTTGTGTCGAGTGCTCCGACCCCGGACACCACCTGAAAGGTACAAGTCGGTTACGTGGTCGAAGACAATGTGTGAAGGCTCAATGTTGCCATGTACCAAGCACCGATGTTCCAAAGAAGCATCCGCGTGAATTGGAGGGAGGGTCACTTCAAGTGTCTGATCTTCCCCCACCGATCCCACCGCCATTCCTCAAAAAGCCCAAGTTTCGTGCTCTCCATGGGCAAATGTACAGCCCGGACTCTTAAAGCAGTTCCCTTCTTGCCAGAACTTGCAAAGGACCTTTTTCCTGGCACGAGCTACTTGGGTTCGCTACAACGGCCCCGAATTGCTCAGTTTTGAGGAGTTGTTCGGTGTCAGTGTTGAGTAGGACTGAGTAGGAGGGATAAAGTTATACAGTTATACTATATAATGTTATATGGGCGTATATGGATGTGTATTGGAATAGGAAGGACAATAGACCAAAACCCATTGGCTGGGTCGGTTGGGTGTATCCCATATCATCATATATCGCTTGCGGAGGCAGCAAAGGCATGCAGTGCGTTGATGCTCGAAACATGCAACGATCTTGTTCAGGATTGTTCAGGCAGTTCTGCCAGATCGTGTATGTTCTTGGCATTTTTTGCAATGTTTCTGGAGGACCTCATTAATCCAATCAATCTTAATGTAGGCTCTTGAGTAATCAAACTCCCCAAACGACAACAAGGACATGTTCAATCCAAATGGAAAAGTTATATGTATCCAAATGATACCCCTAGGCTTCCTGGCCCACCATTAATTTAATAGGCTGAATCGAATCAACTAAGTTAAGGATTTTACACTACAAACATCAGGTCGTTCCCATGTTTTTAATGGTCGAACGAAAGTCTAGGGATATGAAACTGATGTTCGAACCTCGAAATCGACATGTTTGTAGCTTCGAGAGGTCGCACGAAAGAAGATCCGGTCTGTTTTTTTCATGTCGTTCACGGTGATCTTCCGTTCTAGAACTGCCCGCACCTTGAAACTCATACACAGCACTTCACAGTACTTCAGCCCTTTCGTCCCTCATACTCCACAAAGCCCATAATTCTCACATCGATCCAATTCTTACAATAGTTGTGGGGTCTCCCCTTGTTCTGTTCTGTCCGTTTGGTTTGTCAGTTCTTTGGTCAACCTCGTCAGTTCTTTGTTTTCCACCCACGCCTCGACACCATGCTCACTTCGTTCCGCGAGACGCCGGGCTCAGGAATTGGCTGGCCAATCCTCGGTCTTGGAGCAGTGAACAGTCACGAATCACTGATCTTGTAGCTTCTTAGCTTCTTAGCTAGCGATGCCCTTGTTACTCATAGGGCATCGATGGCCTTGTCTGATCTTGGAGTCTTTCGAGGGTCCAAAACCGGATCTGCCGCGGGAGGACTTAGCCAAGATTCATTGCTGTAGCTATGGTGGCTTGTATCTTGCCTTAACTCTATCTATCCTTCTAAAAAGGTGTCCCTCGATTCTCGAGGAAAAAGGGGCTCAGCCCTCCAAAAGC